CATTAATATTTGATCGATTCCTCGATTCGTGAGTTTGGGACGCCTGTGGTGGCTATAATTATTTCTAAACAATTAGAAATCGATGTCTCACTCTCTCACGACCCTCACAGGCTCGCGAGGCCTCTTTTGTCTTCTGTTTTCTGCTTGCAAAATTTATCCATAGAACAATTCCAGTACGTCAGATGAGAACCTTGATGCAGCCATTCTGCTTTTTATACGAAGAGCACATATTTGTTTAATAGAAAATAATTCTGTGCAGACTTGGCGCACCAGCGGGTTTTTCGAAAGACTTGAAAGATTTGAAAACGTAGGTCGTTGCATTACTAATCACCCTATCAAAATTGACTCATAAGGTCAGCGCAAAAGCGTATTTCAAATGCAAGTTTGCTTCGCGTCTGAGTCAAGAGTTTGCGTAAATATCAATAGTCCTTTTTTCAGTACAGTTCGCTTAAGTGGGGTATTTAAACTTGGTATAGTCAATAACAAAAAAAACACTTTTTCCTTTTTTCAGCATAAAAATAGGGTCTCTCCCTCGGCCGGCACAGAACAGTTCGTACTTCATGCACGGCTAATATAAACCTCGAATTTGCATGTTTTCTTGGCTGATTACAGCCCAAATGAATGTTTTGTTACCATTATTTCCCTACTGTAAGAGCGGAGATTCAGGAAAATAACGAGGGAACCGACCCCAGAACCCCCATTATATATGTGTGTAATTTGGCCATTTTCATGACCCTTTCAATCAACTACCTTATTACATGAAATTTTGGCGTCACGTTAATTTAACGATTTCGTAAAACCCTTATTGAGCGGCACTTTAATTTAGCGATTTTTCGTAAATTTTGGAACATAAGTCACTTAATGTTTGCGATTTCACGAACTGAAACTTTGACGAATTAAGTTATTGAAAACTTTTACGATGACAATAGAACATTTATGTGGTAAAATCATAAACGTCAATAGCTTCATTTAAATCACAATCATATTTACAACGTTTTGAAATTTAATTTTGATCGAAACAAACGAAACTGCAACTGTAATGTCCTATCTTAATGCTGTCCTCACTCATATTTGTATTGTCACACAAAGTCAATGCTTCTTTTACGAGTACCTAACCATTAACATTCTAACGACACCGATCAAGTTCGGTGGATTACTTCAAATGGATCAACAGGTGGCAGTGGTTTGTCTCTGTTGGCGATTTCCTTGACTCACACTCTTGAGGATACATTTCATTCCTTCAGTGCCGGTCAGATATGGTTGGCGAAATGGTGCAAAATTCACAAGGTTTATATTCATTCACATTTAATGTTGTTATTATTAT